CCCCAAAACCCCAAAACCCCAAAACCCCTAAGATATTTATTTAATTGAAAAATTAACTGTTGTTCTAGATTACTTGAACCCATCATCGGAAGAAGAGGAGTCAGCAAGAGCAAACCTCACTGTCCTACGTGACACTTGATCCAGGCTGTGAAGCTGGAGGTAGTGAGGGTCGTTTACTCTTTTGTAACATTTTTTGGTTTTGATGATCTTCATCTCCTTTTTCTCGTTCAATTTCCTAACTATTTCAGGGGCATTCACCTACGCTGTGAATAAAGAATTACCTTCTTGATGAAATCCTGAATTTGGTGTGTTCTTTTAATAAAATCAAGAGAAGATCGAGGTTTCTCTTCTCGATTGAAAGCAGCAGTGATAGAAGCTTTCTTCCGAATCAAATTCCATTTCTGAAAATTCACAATGTCATCAATAGCTTGTTGAGAGGTCTTTATAGTGTTTTGCTCAACTATTTGTTGGATATTCTCTGTAGTCAGAACCTCAAAAAATTGCTCTGGAGTAAGATACAGCATGAAAGTATCTTCAAGAGCAACAATTTTGTTCATTCTAAGTTTGCTTTTAAGTAGCAGCTCTGTGTAGCCAAACACTTCTCCTTTGCCGATCTTTCCCATCTTTCAGAATACAGAACTTGTGGTCCTTTCAATCTCCCACTCAGATAGACTGACTGGGTATTGTCTGAAGCTGTCCATTTCTAAGACTGAGGAGGCCTCTAGTTTCCCTTTCTGGACAATATAAACTCCTGTGACATTATCGCCTTGACTATAAACAATTCTATATTTAGTGTAAGAATCTACCTTCCTTTAGCAATCTTCTGAAATTCAAGCAGATGTAGGAGTCTTTCTCTCTGTGCAGTCTCTAAGTCCTTAAAAACTGAGCTATTTCAGCAACTCCCTGGTCATCTGATTAATAGAGACACTTAAGTTTGTCAGAATAGTCTTGTAATCGTCACGACAAAAATACATCAGCTCACAGTCTTTATGAGCAATAGCTGTAAACTCTCTGGTCGGCATGAACTCTATGACTTTTTCTCCAAAGAAGTCATTATAACTAAATTTTTCAAGGAGGTGGCCTTCCTTGTAGAATCCTACTTCTCCGTTATAGACGATGTACATTTTGTGGCCTGGCTTCTTTTCTTCAAAAATCTTAGTGCCCTTATTTATAAAATACTGAGTTTATCTTTGTTGCAGCTTGCTTAATAGCATCTCCATAAAAGTTCTTAGTGAAGTATGCAATGTTAGTCTTGAGATAATCATAAACATGCTGATGGTCAGATTCTGTTCTTTCAACATTCCTTTTCTTTCAAATTTCGAAGATGTTGTTCTTACTGAAGTTCCCTTTGATTTTCAATAACTTTTTGAATTCTTCTTGGTTTTCTAACCATTCAGGGAATAAGTTTTTCTTGAAGTTATTTTTCGTAATAAAAATTATCCTCGTCATTTTCCTCATGATTAGTCATTGAGGAGATACTCGTGATGCTGCCATAGTTCATTGACCTCCGCTTGATGTTTGTGGGTGACATTCGGAGGAAATTAGCTTTCTTTAGAGACATCCTTCGCCTTAAGTTCTTCAGATGTGGGTTACTATCCACAGATTGCTTGTAGAATTTCTTGAACTTGAAATCTGACTCGTTCTGAAGGCTCTCAAGTTGCACTCGCTTCATCATTATTACAGGCTTCTTCTCTCGGAGTGATTTCAAGTTCTTAAAATTGGTTGTTGATGATAGAAACGGTCCTTTTCAGAGAAATTTTCTTCAATGAAGAATTCTTAGACATTGATAACCGGTCCTTTTTAAGGATCCGTCTTGCATTCGTTATTGGACTGGGACTTCCAGAAGATCCAAAAGATGTTGTTTTGGACATCCCAATATCTTCATTTTCCTTAATTTCCTCCATCTCAGGGTTAATCTCTGTATGGTCACCACTGATTTTTAATTTATAAGGCAATGAAGTATTATTCAGGGTAAAATTCCTTGAAACATAGTCATCATTTTCTTCGCTTTCAAACCCACTAGAAACAGAGAATTCATCAATCTGTGGGGTATGATCCTTCGTAATAGACTTATACCTCCTCTGTTCTTCTCTCATCTTGTTAGCTTTTGGGAACAAGTCATGTTCATTATTCCCTAAAATCTTCGAATTCCGTCTGCAGTTGGCCTGGGCGCACTTATCAAAAGACTTATGCATCCTGGACCCTCTTGGAAGCTTGATGCGAAACTTTGGCAAGGAAAGCTTGAACCGGTCATTGCCAATATCGTAACAGCACCTGCTGTTCTTCACGATTGACTTGAAGTCGAGCATTTTTGTATTAATTTTATTAGTTTGGTCCCCACTGAGGCTCCCAAAAGGGGTTTTGGGGTTTTGGGGTTTTGGGG